AAATGCTCTTGAACAAGATTTATTATCATACTGGTTCTCTCATTGTCGAGTTAATAAATCTTTGACATCCTATATTTCCACGAGAGCAGTGTTATTAACTTTCTTAAAATTCTATTTCATGTTATGTCTATAATCTGGTGTTTCCTCCTCTAAAGTAGCAGCTTTATGGTACTACATCCACACACCTCGTCAGGTCTACCTCATCCTACCTGCCAAATAGAAGACACTGGACATGGGTGACGCAGACAGCTGGCTCTGTGCTGGGACTGGACGGGCACTTGGAGGCTTGCTCCTAACTAGCCTGATATGTCCACCATTTGCGTTTTCAGGATTCATTACATATTCATAATATTGATTTCAAAAGACTGCTCTTGGCAGATGAGATGGCCAGCCCACCACCCAACAAGGAAGGGACTTTGAACCAGGTTCCTGGGGCTGTTAATGGGCTGGACTGGTTTACAGTGACCAACACGTCCTCATTGAAGTTTGCAAATGATCCACAGTTTTGTGAGGTGGCTGAAATGCTGAGGGGAGCAAGCTCAGGTCCTGCCTGGGACATTTTCTCTGGGTGAAACTAACTGACCTTCGAGAAATCAAACCCACCACTTAGATTTCACTCCAACTCACAAAATTAGCCATTTCAATACCTACACAAAAAAGAAACACAAGGAAGCAAAGACTTTGAGGGATTTGGCAAGAAGTCTTACATACTTAACAGGTCGCTGACAACTTTTCACACTTTATGGAGAAAACCATCTGAGCCATTAGCAGGTCATTTGACCCACTCTCTTTAAAACCTCTCTAAAATCAGGAAACAACTCTAATAGCTGGAGAACAGAAGGTGAGCTGGGATTTAGCCTAACCACTGTCTGCCAGATTTGCTGGCCGCGGGCGCTTCCCAGCAGTTAGTGTCTTGCAGGGAGCTTCAGGCCGCAGGTCTCTACATTTTGAAGGCTCTCCTCTGCCTGAGTTGCCCCTTGTGCTCCACTTCTGCACTGTGTATTCATCATCTACTACATTTGCCAGGATCTGTGCTGCAGACTGTGCAGGACATGAGCTATGGAAATTCTGTCCTCAAGAGTCTTCCTGTCCAGTGGGAGATGCAAGACTAAGAAATAAATAGCTATCATTTAGGCCCAGCCCATGTGGCTAGCAGTTGAGCATCGACCCATGCACCAAGAGGTCGCCAATTCAGTTCCTGGTCAGGGCACATGCCCACATTGTGGGCCCAATGGCGGCGGTGCAGGAGGCAGCCAATCAATGTTCTCTCTCATTGATGTTTCTATCTCTCTCCCTATCCCTTCCTCTCTCCCTAAAATGAATAAAGAAAAAAATATTTTAAATAGCTATCATTTAGGGTAGAAAGTGACTTGTAATCACAAATATTAAGACCCCACTATAAGCCAGTTAATGTGCATAATGGGTATACAGTAGAGAGCAAGACAGACTGGTCCTTAGAAGAGGTTCAATAAGCATTTGTTGAAGGAAGAAAGTAATTGTTCAGTACCCACTACGGGCCAGGCTATGTGCCAGGCATTTTTTCACTTAATTTCCTCCTCACAAGTCCTCATTTCAGTAGGTCATGTTATCCTTATTTTTAACATAAGGAAACAGGGGCTCAAAGGCGTTAGGTGACTTTCCCAAGGCCACGCAGACAGTGAACAGCAATGAGAGGACCGTGATGCAGACCCACCTGACCTAAAAGATCCTGCTCTTTCAAGCTCACCACGTTTACTATTAGCATGGTAGGGCACGTCTGCCTTCTGCTGTGGTGGCTGCTCCATTTGGAAGTAGAGCAGACACCGGCCTGTTGGCAACAGCAAGGCAGCCACTGCTAGTCCAAGATAAGGGCTCACAAAGCCGTTTGGACAACCCACAATCTGTGATTAATGCTTGGATCATCCCTGGCTGTCCCTAGATGTTCTCTAGCATCAACTGTGTGATCCACTTAACTCCTTTCCAATAAAATGGGAAAATAAAAGGGCAGAGAAGAGAGAATAAACGTGATTTCCAGAGACAGGGGCACAAGCTCTGCTCCCTCCCTTTCCGTTCCTCCAGCGGAGCTGGCCGGACACACACAGGAGGGAGCCACGACACAGCGAAGGCTCCCCGGCTCCCACCGCAACACGACATCCTCCCTCTTCCCACGGTTTTCCAGAACCCAAGGGAAATATTTTAAGTCCTTCTCTCGCTGTCTTTGGGAAAATGAAGAATCTGGGACTTTTATTGCTAAACAAGCCTTCAAAATAAGGTCTACACTAGTGAGTCAGCACAGCGCCACCCTGCATACCCACCTCCTCCGCCCCATCTCCCCCATGCACCCCGGGTAGCTCGAGAGCCACCTCCTGTCCCGCCCTCCGCAGCCCAAGTAGCTGCCGAGCCACCCTTGTCTCTTCTGCCAGTGCACTCATGTCACCCTTGGCCTCAGCTCAGACACGTCCTCTAGAAAGCCATCTCTGACCGCGCTCCGGCAGGGCGTGTGCCTCACGCACTAGTACCCCCTGGTGTCCCCACGCCCCACCAGTGTGCATGTGCGCGCGTACACACTCGCTCGTGTACACACTCGCGTACACACACGCTCGTGTACGCCCATGCACGCACTCGTGTACGCCCATGCACGCACACATTCGTGTACGCCCATGCACGCACTCGCATGCACGCACAGTAATACCCCTACTGCAAGCTCCCAGCACTCTCCACGCCGCCCTGGCAGAGCGTTTCCTCAGCTGCACCATGCCCCGGCCGTGCTAATGAGCCCCTCCTCTCCTCGCTCCACACCCGGATCTCCCTACTCCCAATACTGAGCGGCTCAGGAACTCAAAAACCCTGGAGGAAGGGAAGGCCAGAGGAAAAAGAAGGCGCTCAGCCCACAACCCACCCTTCCAGGGCGGGCACTGGCCTCAGGCCTGGTACAGTTCTTTACAGTCAAACCTGCCAAGGGAGGGAAGGGGGAGGCCGGAGGACAAGCAGGCCGGAGGGAACGGTTGGTCTCTGAGAAAACCGAACAGGAGCTTCAGGGCTCCAGTGGCAAAGGTCAGAGCCACCGTTAGACATATTGGCAGTGCCCAGTAGAGCCGCGAGGGTGACTCCGCTTCTAGTGCCCTCCCACCTGTGGCCCTGGCCCTGTGGGTCGCAGCATGGCCAAGGCGGTCTCTGGAACAGCTGCTCCTGACCTGCATTTACTGGACTTGCTAGAGGCAGGAAATCCCACGTGCAATGACTGGATTTCTTCCCTTTCTTCCTGATCCGTGACTACGTAGTGAATTGGTCGCTAAAGTAACCACTTAGGCAGATTTCAGTAACATCTGGCTGGACTTAAGCAAAAGGAGGAGGAGGAAAACAGAATAGGACTGAGTTCCGGGCTGCACATTCTCACCTTCATTTCCATTGCTAGCCTGTCATTTGAAAGGAAGTAAAAATGTTTAAAATCCCCTCTTCCGTCAGCATTGTCACCAGCGTTAGATGGAGCTGGGTTCGCCACTTTAAAATACACTTTTAAAAGCTCATCAGAGTGGCCACAGGCATGTTATCAAGCTGAACACATGTTGACCTGCGTAGATAGAAAAACTGTTCCCACTGTCTGTGGAGGCAGTGTTTTTAAACAAGTGGTTTGTAAAAAAAAAAAAAAAAAAATGAGCCATTAAGAAGTACTTTGCATACATGTAGTCCAGGAACCTGGAAAACAAATAAAAGTAAAATCAGTACCAAATCAGCAACTCTGAGCAGCAAACTAGAGAATTTGGCTGGCATGTGTTGGAGATACAGTTTTAAAAGGTTGCTAATTCAGCCCTGGCCGAGTAGTTCAGTTGGTTAGAGTGTCCTCCCAATACGCCAAGGTTGTGGGTTCCATCTCTGGTCAGGGCACACACAAGAATCAACCAATGAGTGCATAGATGTCTCTCTGTCTCTCTCTGTCTCTCTCTCTCCTCCCCTTTCTCTCTCTCTAAAACCAATAAATAATTTTTTTAAATAAAAATAAAAACCAAAAGTTTGCTAATTCAGTTTAGCTTTCATTTCCTGCACAACTAATAGTAGAAGGCATCAAAAATCAGCTTTACGTTGCTTTTGCAGTTTTTAATCAACTAGGAAAAATCACATTCTTCTTTGTCTTTACTTCCATTTCCCAAAAGAAATTAAATTTTTTTGGAAATCTAAATTTGCTCTTTCCACCAAGAGAAGTGTATCATGCATTCAATCTGTTCAATCTCAGTTTAGTTTCAAGTTGAGACTTTATTTCATTTCCAGACATGTGCAGAGTGGTTGGTATCCCTGTATTACTTCTCACCTTCAGATACAATTGCTTGGCAGAGCAGTAGGCCTGCTGGGTAAATCAAACTCTCCGCTTCTCACTCTCTATGCACCCTTTAGGTAAGTGAAACCGAACCTGTACAAAACGTCCTCCTGCAACTACAGTTCAAAATTGTCATGAATCCCTTGAGCTAAAGCATAGGAATATTCCATTAAAAAATACTGTTCAAAATAAATCTGAAGTCCATCTTGTTTCATGATTTGTGTTGCCTTATAGATTATAAAATATGCAGATGTGTTCATGTTCTTTGTGTTCAGAGTTTTATTAACATTTCAAAGAGAGATAAAAATGGAGATTTCTAACAGAGAAATTGCTTACACAATTCTGTGTCCTGAAAAATGGCTCCAACCAAACAGAAGGAAAAAATTATCTAACAAAGAGAAAGTTCAGCATTCTTTTCCTTCAAGAGCTTAAAGTGCTAGGGCCTAATAAGGATCAATGGATGCCCATGGGGTGACTTAGTGGCACCAGTAATATTCATCTCATTTGAGTAATTTGGCTCAGCTCACCCACTCTTGCTGAGCCTGAGGCTGTCTTTCATTTGGAAATCATGCTGTCATCTTGCCTTAGAATATACATGAATGTGGCATATGCTTATCCTCGCTGCCCAGCGAGACGCTGGCATGAAGAAATGTGAAGGCTCCCGATTGAAGCTTGTATTGATGGGTTGTCCTCTTCTCTTCTCCCCTAGTTACCGTGACAGTGGGAGGCAAGCAACACTTACTCGGACTGTATGACACCGCAGGACAGGTACATTTTTATTGTCGTGATTTATTATTATCTTGATTCATTTTTATTATCTTGATTCATTTAATAGCTAGTGACCTCTTCGGATCACTGGGGGTGAAAATTATTGCCTACCTAAATGACAACCAAAGCATATTCTTAATGTCTGAAAAATATTTATAATCACAAAAAAACTAAACCATTACATGATTCAGGGTGTTGATGGGCAAACAGTGATGACTAACAACCAAAATTATGTATTTGGCCAAGACGTCCAGTTTCTTCCTACCCATACCAATTCCAGATCCAGGCTTACTGAGTCAATTTCATAAATGTAAGTCTCGCCCATTATTGTTTTCCTGTTACATTCTTTGCCTATCCTTTATCTAAATTGTCTAGTGAGCTGTGCAAAGGTCCTGAAAGAAATAGATGAGAGTAGGGCTTAGGAAGAAGACAGGGTAAGTGTTGGGAGGAAGAAAAGCCAGGACTAGGTGTCTTCCAAAAGTGAGGGTCAACCTCTGAATAACTAGGGGTTGACTCTAAATTCTCCAAGATTTTTTAAATGTTCTCACTGTATCAGGTATGTTTCTTCACGTTGGAAAACCTGGCCAACCAATAAATAACATAAGGCAATGAACTAGAACTCTCAACGCTTAATCAGGTAGCACCTGCTCTACTTTATGACAATCCTTACCTTTCTCTCCTCACACCCCACACTCCATTAGGAGAGAGTCTAAGTTCACGGGTTGGAGGGGAAGTAGTTAAGCAATTGGTAGCTGTGAGCCAATTTCTTTGATAGAGCTTTTGTTAACATATGTCGTGGGTCATTTATTTAGGTCAAAATCAGCAGGTTTAGTCTTATATCTTAAGTCCTTTGGAGTGAATGTCTGACCATGCTTTTTCTCACTGTGAGTTTCCTGATATTTGTTATTTATAGTTATGCATTTGGGCTCCCCCCCCACACACACACACACAATTATATGGAGATATATCTTTTTGCTCAACTTGAAAGCTCTATATTAGGGGGAAAAAATAGTAAATGAAATTTTCTTTGGGATTTCTGTATGCATTTGCAAGGACCACTGTATAAATGTCTGTGGGACATCAGAGGCTGGTGTTGGGCAGATCTAGAAAGTGGGGAACTCAGAAAATCTAGCACAGGACTCAAGGCTCCTAAGAGCACCCAGTTCTCTCATCAGCAGATGGCTGTTTGGGCCTGCGACTCTCAGGAACTGAGAACTCACATCAATACCAAGACACGGGACTAGGACAGGAACCCCACACACACACCATGTCCAATAGGAGAAAATCGGTTTGGCTCCTCTGAGCTAAGTACAAAGGCCTCAGTGCAGCTGATACTTGGCTCCTCCTCACCAGAAAGCATTCCAGCAATAGGGGTACACTGTTCTTTGAGCTGGAGTTGCCAAACTCAGTCACATAGTCATTGGGGTGTCCCCATTCATCAGGGACTCACAGCCTTAAAGAGGGAGGAGTTTACTCCTTGCCCCTCTCTAGTCAGATTTTATAGATATTAAATCCAGTTTGAAAAGTTCAATACAGCAAGAATTCGTGCCTGACTCCGAGCCTGTTTCCCTTGGCGTCTGCAAAGCGCCGGGCCCCTCGGGCCGTCCAGCCCTCCCCCTCCCACGGCCTCTAGGCAGCTGTAGGCTGCTGTGCACTGATTGCCCCCAGACAACCTCCCCAGGCCTCTATTTAATTTCAAGTTCAATAAAACAGTTTAAAAGCTCTCGTAGAGTTTAATTCTTCTTCCCCACTGCTCTGTCCTTTTCAGAAAGAAAACGTGAGACAATAATAGTATAGGAGCTGAAGCTCTCAGGCAGTGTAAAAACATCTTTCAACTCCAAATCGAAGAAAGCAGAATGACCCAACGCTCTGACGCAGGGGAAAGTGATGAGCACAGATAAAATATAACAATAAATGGTTACAGGTTTTCTTCCACTTCACTGTCACTTGAATCCTTTCTGGCAGCTGCTCTGAAAGCTCGGAGGGAGACCAGGCTCATGGGGAGCAGAAAACGCGAGGGAAAGGAACAGAACATGTCTCGTGTTCTCTAGGCCTCAACTTCTATGATGAGGACCTTTAAAGGATGACTCCAAGAGCCCCAGCCAGGGGGCTCAGTTGGTGGGGGTGTCGTTCCATGTGCCAGCAGGGTTGTGGGATGGATTGAGTTCCCAGTCAGAGCACATACCTAGGTTGCAGGTTCGATCCCAGTCGGGGCACATATGGGAGGCAACCAATTGATTTCTCTCTCTCTCTCTTTCTCTCTCTGCTCCCCTCCCCCCCTCCTCTCTTTTAAAAATCAATGAGGATTAGGGGGAAGAAAAAAAAGATAACTCCAAGAAACCTAAAAGAAATGACGTAATTAAGCAAAATGATTTGAGGGTAGGCCTTTCAGCAGTAAAGGATTATTAAATGTTGGAATCTGTTACATTAAGGGATGACAGGTAGTTCATTTTATAGACCAGTGGTTCTCAAACTTGAACAAGTATCAGCATCACCTGGAGGCCTTGGCTCCAGCCCCAGAGTTTCTTATTCCACAGATGGGGCCCAAGAACTTGCATTTCTAGCAGGTTTCCTGGTGATGCTGCTACTGGTCTGTAAGCCACACTTGGAGAACCACTGTTCTAGAACCTTGTCACTCGAAGTGTGGTCCAATGACCAGCAGGATCACTGTCAGCAGGGACCTTATTAGAAATGCAGATCCCAGGCCCCACCCCCTACTAAATTCTAAAATGTAGTGTTAAAAGATCCCCAGGTGAGTCGTATACACATTAGAACTTGAGCAGCACAGCTCTAGAAGCCTTTGGTGGCTGCAGCAGTTCCTAACGTTAGGAGGAGGGAAATACCGAGTCCGTTCCCATGGGCTATGACTCTGCCAGTAAGACTTTGTAACAAATTTAATTTAGAAGCATTGTCCCAGCATTTCCATGCCCTGCCTCAGGTAGAATAGTCCTCCCTCCTCAGTTATATTCCAGCAAAGTCACATGGCTAAGAAATATCTAAAATGAACTCAAAAACACTCATATGGCCAGAGTTGCTAATAAGAAAGAGCGGTGATCTCAAACTTGCTCCTTGAACCACAAGGAGGAAATAAGTCTCTGAACCTGGCTGTAGAGTTCCATCTTGCTGTGGATAGATGTTCTTTCATGAATAAACCAAGGAGCGGTGTCCCTTGGCTTTGCTTGAGCTACCTGTGGGTCGAAGCTGATGAAACCAACCTCAGGAAGCACATGTGTTCTGAAAGGTCAAGCGATAGGAACTCATTGTTTCTACCCTCCAGGTTACCCTTGAATAAAATCCTTTGACCTGCTCTCCACCACTCGGCCGCCCCTCGTGGCCTTGGGCACACCTGCAGGCCCACGCCCTCCTGAGACCCTCCCCCAGCCCTTCAAAGCCAGCCAAGCGTGTGCTAAAGACAGTTAATAACAAAGTCACACGCGGACACTGCCAGCTCGTGGCATCGGCCAGTGAACAGTAGCTCTGAATCCCTGAAATAAACTAATATTTGGACTTTGAGTAGAGAACCCTCAAGACAGAGTCTTCAGAACTCTGGTTCATCTGTTAGGTAGAATTCTGAACATTCGGTTAGCCCAGCGACCGTCCACCCCTTCATCTCGTGGCACACACACACTGATTACTAAAATTCAGAGGCACACCAAAAAACACATTATACTTTTTGCTGATCTGAAAAAAAAATAGGTATAATTTTGATGTATTCATACTGGACATTTATTGCTGTGTTGGCCGTTGTTATTTTTTTATTTGACAATCCGAGGGAAAAGAGGTCAGTGCCCCTGACTAAATGGTCAGGTATTGCAGGTTTTAAAAATTCTTGAGGCGCACCTGTGTGCCAGGGCGCACCGGGTGAAAGCAGCCGGGTTGGGCAGCGAAGTGAAGGCTCCCCTGCTGGGGGACTCTGCGTGTACCCCTCAGCTCACTCTGGGAGGCAGTGCGCCCGGCCAGGAAGCCAGATCTCCGTAGGACTCGTCCAGCGCATGAACGTTACTGAAAGTCTCTCTGCTCCTTGGCTCAGCCGAGTCCGAGAGCCGGCTTTTCCATGACCTGCTCGCAGGCCAGTTTGTTCAGAGAGCAGGACGCCGGGTGGGACGCGGGAGCAAAGCCTGGCGATCGCCGGCGGCAGGGACGCCACACTAGGAGAGGGGTCTCCCCAGGTCGGCTCGGGGCCCAGCGCCCCCACCCGGCACTGCACCCAGCGCGGAGCCGCCGCGCTCAGACCTCTGCCTCCTCCTGGCCGTGGCCCTGACTTACAGGCGGGCAGAGCCCTGCTCAGACTCAGGATGGACGTAGCTCGAAGGCAACATGTGCAGAAGTGGCAGCTAGGGCTCTGCCAGGCAGGAACAAGAACCTCTCGGTTTCAGGAGCCCGGTCTCTCCGCGGGACGCACCCTGCCTTCTCCGCACACAGCCCACGGGATCGGCCTGCGGGCCAGCACGGAAGGGCGGCTGTCTCTGACACACCGCAGCCCGCAGCAGCTTAGCTGCCTCCGCGAGCGTGGCAGCGTGGCCAGCGTGGCAGCGTGGGAGCGTGAGAGCGTGGCAGCGTGGCAGCGTGGGAGTGTGGCAGCGTGGCAGCGTGGGAGCGTGAGAGCGTGGCAGCGTGGGAGCGTGAGAGCGTGGCAGCGTGGCAGCGTGGCAGCGTGGCAGCGTGGCAGCGGGAAGGCCCTCGGCCGCACCCCTCGGCCAGGGCTGCACACTGCGTGTCTCGCCGGCCCTGATTGCTGAGGCCCCTTTTCCCCAGTGGACTGAAGAGACACGGGACCAGGCAGGAGGCAGGGACAGCTGGGGTTCATTACTGGCAACCCGGGGTCTACCTGGAAGGACGCCAGTCTTCCCCTTTGCTATTGGCTCACCCCGTGGGGCCATCTGGAGCACAGAACCTGGCATCGATCCTCTGTGGAAAGTTTGCCTTAAACCTCAAAATCAGTGTTTTTCCTCAGGGAGCAACTCACCCTTTCTTGCTCACAGGAACCTTACTGTGGCTTC